TAAATATTTAAATTTTGAGTGACCACTGCTAGAAATGACATTTTTTCGTTTAATTTATCAGAGTACTCCAAATAAAGAGCTACGTGTTTCAGTCTCATCAGAGTTCCTTCAGCAAGCTGGAAGATACTAGCCTATATTCTTATCATAAAAAGCATGATGCCAAATCATAATGTCTGTTCTCAATATAGTTAAATTCCTAAAGGTAGAACTAAATGTGCAGTTTCTACAGTGCAATAAAATCTTAAGCTTAAGTTTGTAATCTGGACAAGAAATGCCTGATCAATACTTGATTCAGCAAATAAACTCCCAAATAAATTTTTCTCTCTCCTCTCCCTCTTCTGAAATGGAATTTCAAATACAAGTGATAGAAAGAAGTTTAAAAATATATATATATGATGCAAAAATATAAACTATTTTTCCTGCTGCATTTGGAGAAGGCTGGCATTTTCTGATGCTGCATATGGGGGAAAATGAACATAATTTTTCCAAAAAATGTTTCATTTTTATTTCACATTCTATAAACAAAAAAGCACATCACACTGGCAGATCTCTTGAGACAAAATAATCTTTAAAGACAGGCAGGAATTTTCTGGTACAGGGAATGAAAATGACACAAAAGAGGAAGAGCAATCAGAAAGGATAAAGGCAAGGTGAGTTGTTAATGCTAATTGAAAGTCAGGAGAACTCAAGAGTCTTCTGTCACCTTTGAACACTGGAAGAATCTTCCAATACAGTATTTTAACTCTTGAAGCAATTTTAGCACAAGGCTTGCAAAATGCTGCCTGTTTCTTCACCTGCATTAAATACTCAAATTGTGTGGATTAGACCTTGGCCTAGCTCACCTGGAACAAAAGGGGTGATGGTTCAATGTGCTGGCCCTTCTCAAACTGTGTGTCCCAACCTCAGCCTTCTGTTTTCCAAAACTAGAAAGTGTATACAACCTTCTTCAGCTGCATTTAGTGTAGAAGTGTAGAGACAAACTTAAAATGACTCATCACAGACCATTTATCACTTGGGAGGAAAATCTTGTTAATATGGCCCACGGTACATGATCCATCGTCTGTTGATAGTACATAATCTTTGACCCACGTGCTACAATCATCATCACATATGAAAGGAAAAGAGAAAAATATAAAATACTTGAATGAGAGTTTGTATTATAACATTAATATTATTTAGAGTATCTGCTTTCTAGGCTGATGTGATTCATTATTCAGGTAACACTTCAGTCCTTTGTAATTTGTGGTAATTATGCTTTTTCCTTTTTAATACCAAAAAAAAAAAAACTATTTTTATCTTGGGGGTTGGGCTAGATGATTTCCAGAGGTCCCTTCCAACCTCTGCCATTCTCTGATTAAACAAAAGCAGAATCTAATACTTCGAATCCTGTAGGTACCCTTGACTGTACTGCAAGTAATCCCATTAGTTAAGGATACTTCTCAATATGAACAAGATATCAGCAGTGAATTCAAATTTATGATTGAAACACAATTATGATGGAGATCATATCGGGGAAAATTTCAGTCCTTCCTTCAAAAGGAGGAAGATAACTTGTAACTAGATGAGTTATAATTTTGAAATTATTGCTCCATACCTACTATAATAATTAAGAATAAATTATTTATTAAATAAATTATTAGCACTTGCATTTTAAGACTTCTTCTGGTGTACACACATTTCTTTGTCAGATTTCAGTGCAATTTCTGGCTACTTAAGAGGGGGAAAATGTTGGAATATAGAGTAAACACAGCTTAGGCATGCAAAATGAGAATTTTGCAATTCATTTTTTGCTTTCTGTAGAACATTGATACATCTCCACTACTGTAAAGGAATAATTACTTCTCAATTTTTTCAGTTCTGAAGGACCACTCTTCTATCTGCTTGAATGAAATTGCAATTTTTTGATCAGAAATTGTGCAAGTAAAATAGAAATCAAAACAGGACTTGATTTTCCCATAACATGCATAGTTAGTTTTAACAGTATGTCTTTAGCTTCAAAAAAAAAAATCATTTGAGCTCAGTATTATCCAGAGGCTTAATGTCAACACTGTGACATACACTGCTCACTTCTCTCACTGGGAAGTTACAATACAATTAGCCAACGTGCTAACTATCAGCTCTCCATTTCAAGGACTTTATTCCCCACTGCTTCTCTCAAGTGTCACTTACTCCACTTTGGAAGAGTTAATCTGGACTACCTGTTTTGCTCTTGATTTATTGCTAGTACACTGTGAAATAATTTCCCCAGTGCTGACTTCCAATTGCAATGACCATCACAGAAAAGTCAGGCTCCAACACATCTGACTCTGTTATCCTATCATTTAAATATTTCTGTATAGCACAAAATCTAAACTCTGTAATACACCAAAGGTTGTAATACAACTCCATACGCACCCTGAAAACTGCACCCTCTTTTCTTGTGGATATCTTCTTTCTCACCTATTTACAAACACTGTTTTTCTCTTTGCCCCAAGATTTGCACTCTTACATAAAGAAGTTTGCTTTCTATATGGTAAGAGAATTTCAACAGCTCTGTACTAACAGCATTTCCAAAAACATGACACATTCATTTCTCTCTTTTCCCACCTTGTTCTTAAATTTCTTATTAAATAAGGGGAAAAAAATGCATTGTCAAACATTCAGTTGCATCACTTTCTAGCACAGACTAAGAGTACAGTAAATAGCTTCAGGTTTATGGTAAAAATAAGTTTTGGCAAGGTAGAATAAATATCTCTAAATATTCAGAGTACTAGAAAATCAGAACAACACCCCTTGAGGTTCTTTGGGCCATTCTGCTACATACCCAAAGAGAAGAAAGCAGTAACTTTGCTTTGTTCATAAATTATTTTGAGTACAATAGGCAGAAATGCCAGTTATATTGCCCAGATACATTATGAAACACACCCCGCCCAGTACTGATGTCTGAGCCTTCAGGGCAGGACTGGCAAGTTTCTTCAATGAAAGGTAGCCAAAGAGCCCATTTTCAGCCACTCCACAACTCACAGCAAGAGGATTTCAATGCACTATTCCTGTCCCAAAAGCCCACTCTAACTAGATCTGGCCATATAGCAAAGACGGCAGCAAGAATATATTGTCATCCTTAGGGTACCAAAGGGACCAAGCTGGATAACAAGGACTTACCTCCTCCTGCTTTTCTCCACAATTGGAGAAGAGGCACGTATGCAGCTTTCACGCTAGCGCCGTGTGTTTAAAGGCAGGCTACCTTCTAAAAGCTGAGCTGTAGTGTCATCCAGCACACGCAAATAAAAGTGTCAAGAGGGAATAGCATCTAAGTAGTTAATATGCTGTCAGATTGTGAAAACATTATCAACAGGTGAGACATTTGAATACAGGTGTCAGTAGCAGAGAAACACAGGGAACTGCTGTAACACAGCACAGAGGTCCAATCCTTCGTTATCTGTTGTGTCTACTGATGGTCAGCCAGTTAAAATCCACATGAAAAACATCAAGCGATACTAAACAGCAGACACGATCAGAGTTCATATGAGACAAGGACACATCTGGGGCTAAATGAAATTATAACAGATGCGGTAAGGGCTAATCTGTGACTACCCCACCTGAGGAGCAGCCCCGAAACCAGAGTACTGCATCGGTGCAGTTTCTAATCTAGGAAGAGAATCTGTTCAGACTGGCTCACATTTCACCAGAGCTAATTCACTTGAGCCTAGTTTTCTGAAGTGTCGAACACCTGCGGTTTCCTCTGATTTCAATTGGTGTAGAGGGTACTCGGCACTTCCGAAAACCAAGCACTATGCGTGAGCAGACATGCTTTGAAGAAGTAGGTGCTCCACGAAGCCAAAAAAGCCACAAATTGCACAAGCTCACATTACTGTGAGTTTCCTCCAGACCACAGTTTGAAGCGTGCAGCTTTAGAGAAAGATGTTTAAACACCTCCAGCAACCACAAAACAAGAATAGAGATCAGAAAATAATAATGCCTCCCTCATTACTGTCAGTCTAGCAGGTTTTAAGTCATTCAAGCAGAACAGGTGGTGCTTACTCTCCCCATGCTATCTGGCAGGCATAAAAACAAACTGCAACAGTATCAACACAACAGATCATTTCACATTTAGACAGGATAATTTCACACAAGAGGTAGATTTCTGAAACTGTGCCTCAGGAAATATTGTCATCTTATAGAAAAAGAAATCAGAGAAGGAAATTGCATTGCTACCAACAAAGAAAATAAAATAGTGTGATTCTAGAATCACATTACTTTAGTGCTTTCACAGAAAAATGGATTTAAGTAACATTTGCATAAAATATACTGAAATACAAGGTAAATATAAACATAGCCGAGGTAAAAGCTATACCAAATAGCATTCATTAGCCTACTAGTTAATCTCCACTAATGTGATTTATTTTGTGCACTCTTAGGGTCAAGAACTGGGTGTCTCTCTGCGAGCACGTGGTCATATTGCAGGGATTTAAGAACGACAGTTTAGCCCTCCGCAGTGGGAACTAAATACAAGAGGATTTCAATTTATCTGGAACCCAAACATTTTACATGCATTATAGATAATGGTAAACCATGGCTTTCATTAGGTACCGATAAAAATAGCCATGCAGCACTGCATATAAATTGTTGTGAAAGGTGCTCTGAGAGCAAATGCAAAAGAAAGGATTGTTAACAGAATCATTCCTTTATGAAGCATTACCCTGACTTTCACTGCTGTAGTAAGCGAAAGCAGAAGTGAAGGCAAGTGAAAACTAAGGCAAACGCTCCCTTCACTGACTTCAAAATACAGCAAACATTTCACATCGAGCAGAGCAAAACCTTTTCCTCAACAGAATTGCTAAATTTTATCAGACTTGGCCTGTGAAGATAAAATAAAGACATGTTTATACTAGTCTGCTTGAGAGACCTCACACATGGTTACTAGGTGTTAAGCTGCCCTTGGCATTTGAGGGGATCAATTTTCTTAAAGGATAGTCACTATAGGAAGATGAGAATGTATCAAAACCAAAACTAACTCTTACATGATAAATTCTGTCAGGTTGCACCATTTTTTAGAGTCTATTTTCTTCATCATTTCTTCAAAGGATTTTCCACAGGCAGGCAACTTTTCTAACATGAGGGATTCATTGCAGAGATTAGTCTGGTGGCGGGCACCTAGGTAAAGTCAAAAAACACCTTAAATTCCAAACATTGAAATAGAAGAGGCATGAATGCATTTTTCACAAACTCATTCACATAATTCTGCCCGCCACTTACATTGCTGTAGACCTAACATTCAACCTTCTAAACAACTTGATAGGTAAAACGTATGTATATTAAAAAAGTAACTCAGTATAAAATACTATACCTTGCCTTGCACAGAGAAACCTACCTAGTCACCTTTCTAATCTTACTGAATTTCTAACCTTACTAACTTCTTACTGAACACCTGCACCATTAATTAAAAGCTAACTAGAGCTGGCTGGTCATATACTTCCCAGGCCTTCAGTGTAGAAAGTATTGCTCAAGCTTATACAGTCATGTCCCATTGAACTAACTATATGACTATAAATATCCTTTATCAGAAAAATTTGTACACCTTATCAACTAAAGGCTTGAAAACCCATGGTCACAATTAAGATTTTTGCTTAATATATCCATTAATGGAATTATTTGCCGTTATCTGATGTTAATGTTATAAGCATCCAGCTCCTCTGAAAGAAGGAATTAACCTTGTGTTGAGCAAGCCTGTACCTTTTGCTATATGTAATGGCAACTCCATGACAATATTTAGAGTCAGAGTCAAAAGTACTTATCCAGCCCACACCTGAAGTGCAATATATATAAATCTATAAAGCCAATATTTTGATATTCCTTATAAAATTAAAATTCTGAAAAATTTTTATTCAGAGTAATTGAAGCACTCAGTTTTGCTAAGGCTGAAACATTCTGTTTTGATTAGGTAATTCAATTTGGAATATGTCTTCCTTTACCTTTATCATTTCAGTTATTTTGATTCCACTTTTATATACAAAATGTATACATTTTGGAGAATATTAAAAATTACTTGTAGATGTATCTGTCAATATATTTAATATAATGCCCTAAATTAAATTAGGAAACTAGTTAGAAGAAAACATTGGCATACCTTCTCTTTAAACCAACAGAAATTTGAGAAAAATTTCATCTCAACAAAACCGCAGTCCTAACAAGTCTGTGTGCCAGATAGCTCCCTTTGAGAGTTCTGGAGGAATAGTGTGTTTTTTTTTTTTTTTTTTTTTTTTTTTTTTTTTTTTTTTTTTTTTTTTTTTTTTTTTTTTTTTTTTTTTTTTAAAAGAGAAAAGCCAGGAAGAACAGACCATTTTGTCCATTTTTTAATCTTTGAGAAACAAAATCTATGTAGAACCAGGTCTTGCACCAATTTTTGAACCAACATTTTTATCTATCCACATTGCACAGAGGAGATATTTCCTTTCCTTGTATTAGTTACATTTGGAGAATAGGATCTCATCATTGCTGAAAAGAGCTGGTGGCCTTGTTCCTACCTCAGCTTCTTTGTCTACTGCTCCAGATAACCTGAAATCCTGCCTTCCTCCATGGAAGAAGGATCTGACTTGCTGCTGACCAAGAGCTGCTTTATGGTTGCCCTTTTCAAAACTCTTCCTCCAGCATCTAAAATTTACTTCATTCACAGTTGCTATATAAACAACAAGTGATACCAATCTATGGCTGTCACCGGGGAAATTTTACCACAAAATCGAGGTTCCTCCCAACTTTTCCCCCCTTTCTAACTATATCCTGATTTTGTGTTGTGTCAGCAAAAAAATAGCGTTAAGTGAAGTAAGATCAAAGGCATGCAAGTCTTCATTTGATGAAAACCCAGATACAGTCCTCACTCTCAACGGGGTAGAGATCCTTAGTATTTATTCCAACAAAACAAAAGCAAGATGTTTGGTTTCAGACTTCTTAACGTGATGCAGTTGTTGATTACAAATTGAAATATCTCCATTCAAAATGAGACATGTGATTGTAAAACAGCACCAGGTGCACACTACAGTGCTTAATCCATGAAGGAGACTCTTCAGAGCTCTTCTTTCAGAGCCCAAGTAGGAGTGCCTTGCCAATTTAATTCGTGCTATAGCAGCTGATTCTTTTAGCTGGAGAAGACACTGACTCAGTAATGCCCTGTGCCAACTAAGAGGCAGCCATCATATCTGATCAACAAAATACTTTGCTTTCATATACTCTCAAACAGCAGTACTGTAATTGGACAGTCTATTTTACCTCTAAGACCCTAAGACTGTTATTTCATACTGGCCACAAACCTCTTCATGCCTACGGCTGACTAATTGGGACCATCTGGATAAACCCATTACTTCTGACCCTACCTACTTCCTCACATCTCATTGTCAAGAGCTCTTATGGCTGACACTAAGACTTCATCAACATTTTGAAAATTCAGAACTACAATTTATCACCAGCAATAGAAATGATAAGAGTTATGAAATATAGCAAGCGTAATTCTGTCCTTTAGAAGTGAACACGATAGTTAAAAACCCTGTCTATTAAAGTGTTCCCACCAATTCATCTAGCAGTTATAATTTATACCTTCCAAAGGTAGATGTGCAGATAAATATTAAAACTGGGAGGAATCCACAACCAGATATGATAGATGTATGCCTGCCAACTTGAATTCTGCAGGGATGCTTTTACAAAATTTAGGCAATGCTAGCTGCCCTGGCTGATTATTCTAAATAGCAAGCTATCACTTGATTTATAACCCTATAAGTTCAATGGAATAGAAGCTTTTTCTCATTACGTAATGTGCACTGTTATTGACTCCAGCTCCTTCTCAGTGGAGTGTTTAAATGGATTTTCCATGGCCTTGGTATTTTTGGTTGCATTTCTTCAGAACTTTAATGGTTTAAAAGATTGTAAGAAAGTTCTGAGAGAATGCATACTGTGAAAAAGATCTACCTCCTGAAATAATGTGATGACATAAGAATTTCCGTCTAAAACCCTGGCCAAAGGGTTTCAAATTTATGAATAATTCTGCAACTTTACCATCGCTATTGAGACTGATCTTTACAAACACTGAGCCACTGTCTGTTCATAAAACCAATGGACAACAGCAATTGTAAAAAATGCATGAAGGCTGACTAATTGAAATGAGAGAGAATGGAAGTGCTTTATAAATAGCTATCATTAACAAAACAAAAATATATGTTTGAATTTTAGAAGTAAAGCTCACCTGTTAATCCAAGCGTCATTAGACCATTAACTAGGGGAGGAAAAAAAAGATAGAGATTGGTTAGATATCTTCACTTTATTCCATAATGCATAGACTTAGTGCAGATACGAGCAAACCTGAGCCTATTTCATGCTTCAACAAAACACCTCATTTTAACAGTAGTTTCATTTTTATTAGAACGTGTTTGAATGGAAAAAATGAACATGTAGAGAACAGGAATTTTTTAAAATTGCTTTTTATCTATCTTTTAAACAGTTGAGTCATGTAGACATTTATTGATCTGTCAACATCACTTTTTCTGTAGTTTCCAAAGTTAAGGATTAGGGACAAGGGAATTTTTATTTTAGTTTCTTGAAGGGACTGACATAAAGTTGGAGAAGCAAACACATCCACATGAAATGTCAGTCAATTACGCATTCTAAAGTGCAAAGTAAATCCTTTTGTTATTGCAATTAAGTAAGCACAAAATAAAAAAATAAATAACGCATGTCCTATTCATCTGGAAATATAATGCTGTGTTTTGTGATCTCCATCTTTTCCACAGTGAATTTATATATTTGGAAAGACATAAGCTCAAACCCTGTAAGTATCTGATGTGGAAGTTATGTTAACACATGTATGTTGGATGAGTCTCCTCATGGAAACATGGAATATGCCAACAGAAGTTGTCTTCTGATCAGCAGTTTGCAGTACCTCCAGATGGATGAAATTAGCAGAAGCCCACTGAGTTAGCGTGGCTGCAGCTGCACTTAGCATTTTGCAAACATAGCATAGGAAGGATGTGACTTAATTATTTTTGACCTCCTTTTGGAAAAGAAAAATTGCTGGCAAATCTCTGCAGTGCTAACCTTGTATCAGAAATAAAATGAATAATTTCACACAGACTGATACCTCCTGCTCCGTGTTTATACCCTGTGTGTCCTTCCAACAAAATGAACGAAGATATATGGAAAAAAATCAGTCCCAATTACAGTGATCTAAATTCTGCCTTCACTGAAATACGCCAAACTTTTGACTGAGTTAAATGCAAACTGTTGTGTACATACATCTGAGAAGAATTTAGATCCCTCTAAGAATATATTTTTCTTCCAGCCAAGCGCTAATCTCTGTGTTAACTGCTAATGAGCCAGAACGTACTGAAATTGTGAAGAGCAGGAATCCATGTATCAGAACATTTTATTGCATCCAGACACATAGAGCTGGAATTCCATTATATACTCTGATGGCTGCATCGCTTTTATAAATAAAATACTCTTTTTTTCAAAGCTATTAACTACCATACTAGTAAATACACTTTAGTCCCATTGATAGGTTTTTCTTTAATCTGTACTTGAAAATGTGCTTCATCAATTCCACAAAACTGAAGATGGGATTAAAAGTACACATTCTATGAAGAAGCTAAAACGACCTATTCTGAGGAAACTGTGAGGTGAACATAGTTTACAACGAGAGAGAACCAATAAGAGAAAACAATGTATCCATATTTTAAAAATAGAGAGATTAAGTGACTTCTCCAGTGTTGCTTAAGGAAGCTGTGATAAACCAAGTACAGAATAAACAGCTCTTAGTTCTCAGATTTGTGTTCTATCACAAATCCCTCTGGTCACAGGAAAACCTGTTTTCAGCATTTTCTGATCTGATCAAAATAGAGTAACACAGGCTATTTCATACCTACCCGCAACCAAAAGAGTCCAGATATATTCAGATAAGGGTAAAATAACAACACAGACCACCACGTGCTATCATACTTAACTCTCACCATTTTCAGGGGTCTCAGATATTCAACTTATAACAAAGATTTAACAAGGAGACCACAACTTGCTGGGCATGACAGCTTACACAGGAAGTATGCCCTTTCAGGCAGCCCTATTAAGAAGGGGCAAGTCCAGTGTGTTTCTTGAAGTGTTTATGCCATCACATCTCATTAGAAGAAACATATTAGTGCGAAGCAAAGTGCAGTCAAAGCCATTGGAAGATGTTGCCCCAACCCCGTAACAAGCAATTTCCTAGCTACTTTTTCACGCATTCTTACCGGAACCAACATTTGAGGTGAAAAGCGGAGGTCCATTTTAACTGTACCAGTTGCCTGCAGGCTTAGTCATATTAATACCAGTTCACAGCAACTGCCTTCAACTTGTATTTATTCCATATACTGTAGTAGCAGGAAGGACTGCCTCTAGCACTAGTGGAATCAGAAACTAAGACACCAGCCAATTTAAAATTGGAGTAACTGGTACAATGGCAGTGAAGGCAAGACAGGGAAAAACAGGTTTAGAAATGTATTGTAAAGAAGAATAAAAGATAAGCAAGAGAGGAAAAAGTAATAGAAAATAAGAAAACCAAGAAACAAAGCAAGCTTCTATTACCAACCTATTTCAAAATCTTGTGCATTAAAAAAAGAAAATCTGATCCTAGATATTCACTGTAGCCTTTTATTGCCTAGTCTATATTCTCCTTTTGTGATCAGAAATCCTCCTGACATTAAAGAAGAAATTCAGAATGGACTCACAGCAATATGTAAATTTACCGTTGAGATGCAGGAGAAGGTAATTTTTGTTCTTTAATTACTCAGGTACAGAAACTTCTGCTTTTTGTGAGATAGACAAATATTTCTCAATATTTACCTTTATGATATACTGTTATTACGCACTGTTGCTTCTTTTCCCTCAGAGGCTTAAGAGTAGTACTGAAAGTCTTTGTATCTCAACTACTGAATAAATCTAAACAGTTTTTTGCTACATGTTCCACAAAACTCTTCGTAATAATAATTTTGAAACCTTGTATAAGTGTACACAAGAGGAAAGCGTCAGAATATTATTTTCCTTTATCTGAACTTTTCTTCAGCATGCTGCAATTAACAACAAGACTGCAAGACTTCTGCAAGGCTGCAATACTTCCTCAGAATACAGATACAAAGTGTTTCTTGTTTTACCTGACCTGTGTGTGCAGTTTTTCCATCAGCAATTACAGTAGTGTAATCCTATGTATACTTTGCCTTGTACACACTCAGCTTTGAAATTTATGTTGTCTGATCCAAAAACATGTTCCTTCTCAATCATTTCTCTCACAGCAAACAAAAAACATTTAATGATCTCACGTTAAAACTCAAGTTCGTACTGTTACACCTTCTTTAAAAAACAGTCCTGTCAGTCACTATCATCTACTGCTTAACAATATGTCTGGACATCAGATCAGTACTGAGAAGTTATGCAAACTAAAACAACATCTGCCTCTTTCTGCAGAATCTTACGCCTGTACAAAAAACGGATTGACATAGTTCATAAAAGCAATTAAGACTGCAGTCTGAAATGCAGCTGTTGCTCTGCAGTCATACTACAATTTGTTGGAGATGCAGTAGAGAGATTAAAATTCTATTAATATCATTTGGTTGCATAGACCAAATGTCACTACCCACGTTTCTTTTAAGTCTTAAATACTGAACAACCTGATCTTACAGGACAGTATGTACATTTCTTTAGATATTTAAATGCTGCATAGATAAATCTACCAGTTGCATAGATAAAGAAGGTGTTAAATTCATCAAACTTTTGTTTAAACCTAGTTTTATCATTACACAGCATTCGCACCAAGATCTGCATGAGTGTTTTCTGGCAGGAATCAATAGACACTTCAGGATATCTAAGGCGTAAGAAACTGGTATAGAAAGATCTTCACTTATGTTCTGACATAATGTCTAAAGGCAGCTTGGAGTATGGTAAAAACATTGGTTACAGTTGGGGTAGGATTTCTTTATGCTTATCATCTGCATTACTGTTGCCTCTCTGAGGTCAAGAGCCTCACTGCAGTAGGCCTCTACAGACACAGAAGGAAAAGATGAGCTTACGCTAACATCCCATGGGTGCCTTCCAAGGTCTTCTCTAAAAGCCCTGTAAAGGGGATATGCCAAACGCGTGTGGCCAAGACACCCCAGGCTACAAAGGGGCTGAGAGTCCTGAAACACGATGGGAAAGCCCAAGCAGCTCTCACACCTGAGCCCCCCACCACACTGCCTGACTGACAGAAGCAGCCCACTCACGCCTGGAGTAACCCTGGATTCACTTTAAAGTTACCTCACCCCTCACTTCAGCACAGCTTCTCCCTGTGGCTTGTTGGGAATCTCAGAGCAAGAGAAAGGAATTTCCTATGATAGCCTTTAAATACAAGCAGTATAAGCCAAATAGTTTCTTCAAACGTATTTCGTCAAATACACTTTTTCACTCTGCATAACCTCTATACCTATCCTCAGTCAAATACAGAAAGTAAGCCTTTCTTTAAAGGCAGATCCAAGCATATCTCCCTGTTCTAACTTTGCATGACTTTAGCGCACAAAGCTTTGTAATATCATCTCAAGTACAGAGCTGGAAGAGGGGAAGAAGAATTCTAAGTTAGCATATGGCCATGATGCTCAGAGGGGAGAAACTGTTCTGGACAGCAAAAGAAACATCTGGAAGAATATATCATCTCTGTAACTTCAGCTACAAGCCAAGGTTTGCTGTGTCAGCTGTTGGGAAAAAAGGCACTGATCCTTAGTGTAAAATAGTTTTGACTATTTGACCATTGAGTTTTGACCATCTCAATCAGATGAAAGCCTAACCCTAACATAAGTCAGCTTTTCAACCCACTGGAAGTGAGAGAAGATACAATTATGAAGTTATTGAGATAGATTTGGCTTACCATTCTCAGTGCCACTGCCTACAACCCCGAGAGAAGAATCTAATGCTGCTAGCTTCATATAGGGATATGGAAGCTTGAAGTCATGTATTTCCCAACACTTACGATGCACCTCACTCAAGCACCTTAGGAAGCTGGCTGTTCCTCCCCCCTGTCGCACACTGTGTTTAAGGATCTATGCTTTTACCCTTGTCTTTTTTGGCCTACTTCATAGCACCACAAACTGCAGCTCTGGGTTATTTTTTAAATTGCTTCTCTGAACCCAGTTCTCATTTCAGCTAATCACACCAGGATGCTAAACCCTCAACAGAGATAACAAAAGATAATTTAGCATAAAATTGCTAAGTAGATGGGCAAAG